CGGCATGCATAATTTTGGCTTAATGTTAATGTTGATGTCACATGTGAAAAGATACATTGTTCCAGGATTTGCCACAAGGAGAATTAGTTAAAAAATACTTTTAAGACACAAATCTGGTGCCACCCACGCAAAAGCAGCGACGTCCGGTGATTTTCAGGGTGAGGCACTGACTCCTCTGTGATCGGATGAACAAATATATAAAATCCAAAACGAAATCTTATATTTCAATTTTGACCTTTATTTAGAAAATTGTTTTAAAAGTTTTTCTTTATGCCTTAATAAAGTTCGTACTCATCATCTATACAGTTGCAAGAAAGAAACTTTGCATAATGTGAAATAAGAATCTTTTATTAATTTTGGGCAAGCTTTCCGTTTTTAATTAAAACTGAAAATCACTGATGATATTAGCTTTATTATTATATTATTGTACATACTGTGCATATCCTTCTTACTGTTGCAAAACTTTGTTGTTTGGCTTTATTTCTAGAAGTCGGACTGCTTCAATGGAAATGATCATCAAGGAGGAGATTAATTATGAACATTCTATTACGACTGTAATTTTTGTATTTATCTGATTGTTTTCAGCCTGTTCAATGAGTAGAAAAGCCTCTGTTGCCCGTTATACCTATGGGGATCAGCTCAGCACTGCCCCCTATCGGTGCAATGTGGTACTTTATACTAAAAGGACATAATTTTGTCTTCTGACGTTTCTGCAAAAACCTGCTCCTAACTTTATGGTTTTATGTCAAATAAATACAAGAAGGAGTAGTATTAGTAGTAGTAGTACTAGTGATGTAAAAGGTGACATTCTTATTTTTTGTAACATGCAGGTTCATGTGAGTTCAGCTAATCAAAGTATCGGGTGTTGCGTCATCAGCAGGTCTGTGTGAGGCTTGGTCTGACTAATGGTGCTGTTGCCCAGGTTGATTTGATTGAACAACACAGCAGAGAGAGAATCAAAGGAAATATTTACAGCCACAGCACATCAAAAACAACACATGCAGCTGCTACGTCAGCACTCAGGAAAGAGGGAAAAGGCAACAAAGCATCAAAGTGGACATCATACCTGCAGCCAGCCCCTCTGAAGCTTCTTCTAGGAGTGACGTAACTCTGTTCTTTCTGATTTTCTTGAAATGGAGAGTCTGCGACATATATCCTGTGGCATTCAGACAAACTGTCTGAGCCCAAAAATGCAGAAAACTCAACAGTATTTGTAAAAATATTATCCATACATTTTTAAAGCTGCTGTGTGTAACTATTATAAAAAAAATATTTTTTTTTTTTTGGGGGGGGGGGGGGTTTTACACATTTTTTAAAACTTTCAAAAAATGGGGGCAGTATAATATGACCCAAATTAAATATGGAAAA